ACATGTGGCTATACATGTCATCACTGGACTACATAAACCTGCTATATGACTATATCCACCTACCCAAGACTCCATAAACCTACACAAGACTCATAAACCTTCTGGTTGGTACCAGTTGGTTTCCCAGGTATGGGTCATACACTGGGCCTGAGTAAATAAATATGCAAATAACTAAGTTAAAATACCATATCCCCCATACATTTTTTTGGTTGGTACCAGTGGGTTCACTGGGTCTGGGTCATTCAATCGGCCAAAAGATTTTGTCAGTGGGCCTAAAGATGTGCCAAACAATGCAAGTTTGGCATGGAGCACCTCTTTATATAGCTGAAAATGCAAATCTTTTTTTTCTTTTCATCTTGAGCAAGAATACAAAAACGCCAAAAAAAATGACGGGCAGACAAAGGCCAGCCTGATGACAACGAAGACGAGGTGGTTTTCTTGCCAGCTTTGGCTCCTGGTACCCTGGAGCTGACGCATGACCTCCCTCTCACTGCTCTACGCTTCATGTCTCCCATGTCCCCCTGCCCGAACCCCCAATGTCTTTGTCATCCCCAGAGCCGCTGTAAATCTCCCCATTACTCTACTCCCTGTCAACAAACTCCCCTCCATTGGTCCGGAGGCTGTTTGGTCTCGGCCCTTATTCATTTTCAAAACTACTGTAACTTACTTATTCATCAAGGCTTTTATTTGACAAAGACGGGCCTGGCTACTCATGCACACAGACAAATCTCTCCTAACACACACAAATCGCTACACATAAGTAAGCAAAAGTCACATGTAAAAAGACAGCCAGTTTAGAGTCCTGCCTGAGTTGTAACCAATTAATTGTCTGTATTTCCACACATTTATACACATTTACAGATTTGTCTACACGTTTCCTAATCTCAATACAGATTAGCACACAAATTCACACATATTTACAGATTCCTGTACGCATTCACAATTATAGTAGAGTCTAAGTATGTACATTATAATACAATATATGACAATATATAGAGATAGAAGTAAGTGTACTATGGTATATGACCAACAGTTGTGTAATGAATAATAGTAGTAAGTACTGATAATGTGAATAAGTACTAATAATGTAAATATGTTGATGTCCTTAAAAGACTGATGTATTAGTGACAGAATAAGCCAGAGTATTGCACATTAACCAGAGAACATTATAGGCGCCAGTTTAATGATAATAACTGAGGAGGAGTTGAGAGTTTGATGGCCACAGGCAGGAATTACCTCCTGTGGCGCTCTGTGGCGCATGTCCATGGAGTGAGTCTTGCACTGAAAGTGGTCTTGTGTTGTGGAGTAGTAATAATTGTCCAGGATGGCATGTAGCTTGGACAACATCCCGCTCTTGTGGTGTCAAAGAAGAGGATGCTGTCCAAGAGTCCAACTTTACCTTGTGGGGGTGGAGCTAGACTTGCGTATAAGTTTGTTTAGTCTGTCAACCTGCTTCCCCAGCAGACAAACACAAACAGGATAGCACTGGTCACCACAGAATCAAGAAATATCCTCAGCATTGTCTGGCAGATGTTGAAGAACCTCCGCCTCTTCAGAAAATAGAGATGCTCTGGCTCTCCCTTGATGGAAACAGGGGTCAGTCCTTGGCCTTCCTCAGATTCACAACCAGCACCTTTTTCTTTGTTGAGCTGGAGATGGTTCTGCTCAAACCATGTGACAAAGATACCCACCACGGCCCTGTACTCAGTCTTATCACCCTTGCTGATTGATACATCCAACCACAGCAAAGTCATCAGAAAACTTCTGAAGATGTCAGGACTGTGGACTGTGTGGTAGATAAAGTCTGTGGTGTAGTGGGTGAAGAGGAAGGGAGAAAGGACAGTTGCCAGGTCCCTATTCTGTACTCTCAGTCACTTTCTTGACAACTAGAGGCTGCTCATCATTGAGAAGGTCCACTGTCTAGGCAACGTGAACCACAGATTCCAGTATGTTGTGCTCTGTCTTGTGCTGCAAGGAATGCAAGGCTAAATGTGAACCAGTGATCAGGCTCAGGGAGGCTGAAGTTCTTGCTCAGTGTAAAGTTGTGTGGTCTGGAACTGCTCTATTTGAAAAGTATCCTGAGATAACCTTTGTTAGGATTTGGCATTATAGAAATAAAATGTAATTGAATTGAAGCCAATTATGGGGAGGTGTACAACCATGAAGCCAAAACATCTGGATCACCCACTGGTGGCTGACTGCAGTATAGGTCATAAGTCTCTTGCCTCCATGTTAGCATGGGCCTTTTTCTTAAATATTGTTATTTTAGGCAGTTCTTATCACACTGATGTAAGTCCAGGTGTTATTTTTTCTGAAAAGTTTTGTTTTAATTAGTTATTTGAAGCTATATAAAGGGGGGTTTCATGATTGACAGCTGTGCCCTGCTCGCAATTGAGTCGGCTGGGCAGGATCGCGATACCGCGGCACCAACTCCAAATCGGGCTCCAAATAATGACGAATGAAAATTAATTTTAGCTTCATTGTTGTCCCCACATCTTTACAAAGACCTGCTCCATCATTTCGATCAAGCAGAGCGCAGGACAAGAGAAGGCAGGCTCTGTGTTTACCTTGGTCTTCAAATACAATTAAAGTGGATGGAAACTCATTCATATTATTGTCACTACGTTGTTGCTGTTGTTTACATTCCCCAAGACACATTCAGAATATGCCCTGCAGAATTATTTTCTAGGTGTGATTCTTGCCAGCTCAGTGTGGTACCTCTAGGGACCGCAATCCAGTAAAAGTACATATGATAATGGCTCATATGCTGAATGCATAGCATCAATTGTCTGAAGTCTTCCTCCTCTGAGGTGAAGAGTGACAGCCAGCTTCCAGACTGCTCTGTCGTCGTTGCTTGCCCAACACTCCACTCACATCCCTGGTGTCGCCTTGTCCCATGTGTGGCTTGCCCAGTCTTGAACTACAAGACATGCATGTCATGCTTTGTCTGACTCAGCTGCATGTGGACGGTGATTTGCCTCACACATCTGCTCCCACTTTACAAGGCTATCTTTAGGCATGTTAGCATCAGCAAAAGTGGTCTGCAACAAAGATTTGATGTCACAGTTGTTAAATTATGATGTCACACACTGCAGTACTTACTTCAAGTGACATATATTCCCATATTGAGCAGTCAAGGCTATTGAATTGTGTTGCCCAGAACACAATCATGGATGGGACTGGATATAAAAATGAAATTTTACATAGTAACACATTAACTATAGAGTTTTCTCTCAATAGAAAATGAACTGGCTGCTGACGTTGCTAACAGCTAGATTTTAAGTTTAGCAAAAACAAAACTTTAAAAAAACTTAAAACGGGTCTCCTCTTAACAGTTTGTTCTTATAGCAGAAGTAACACATTATAACAAGTATTTCCTGTAGATGTGAAGAGCTTCCACACAACACTGCACTCCCTTGGGTCCTAAGCAATACACCCACCAAGTGTGTACACTTCTCCAGATATGTCAAGGGCAGACATACATATATACAGACAGACAGAGATTCCTTTCTTTATATTTTACCGACCATATTTTTAATGTTCATCAAAATGAGTTTCATTTCTATATCACATTACAGTCTTGCACCACATGACTTATTTTGGGGCGGCTGTTGCTCAGAGGCAGAGCGGGTCGTTTCTTAATCGGAAGGTTGTGGGTTCG